TTTCCGGAGGGAGGGAGTTTGAGAGGAAAGCAGAAAGACGGAGGGCGAGGTCCACACACCATAAGCGGGTAGGGTCCCTAATAACCAGCTCTCGCCTGTTTTCATTTTGTGGTATAGTTGATCATGGTTAGGATGTTTCAGCTTATGCTAGTTCTATTGAAAATGTATGTCACTTTTAATAATAGTGGAGAATGAAGAAAGGTAACATTCAAATTTCGCATAATGTAAATAACTGGTGCAGCAGTTTGACTTCAAAGCATTATCGCCACTATTAGAATGAATAGTTATACTTTTTTTTAACTGTATTTCATTGATAAAGTGAAAATTCGGACATGCATACGTTTTGTACACAAAATTGGGATCCTAAGGGATCAATTTGATTTGCACTTAAGTGATATTTATAATTAAATTACCTTCAGGGAGTATATTTATAATTGCTTTTTCTCATATCTGTCAGGATATTTATATGCTCTTTATGTTTTCGTGCACTCTTTATGGGTGCTATAGTCTGCAAATATGAAATGTTTAGCTTTGTTGAAGTTGAGTTGGAGGGATTCATGGTCTCATGCTGTTAATTTTTCTCCTAAACAATATGTCTTCTTGTTTTGTTTTCTCAGGCTATATATAAAGCAGCCTCCTTCAAGAACTTCAATATCTGGTTATGATCAGGAGCCTGAATGGGCGGAGTACAAAATTAAGGAAACCAATATGTTTACTGTGGACAAATATCAGCAGGTGAGCAATATCTCCCTCAGCATTTTGTTAACACAAGTTTCAATATGAAAAACCTAAAATCAGATATAATAGTCTCATTGTCATGAAACCTTTGTTTTGCTGCATTTTATTTTGGAAAGCAATGCATACCCCAATATGTATGGTACATGATCCACAATTGGGGCATCTACTGTCATCTGTTCACAATAATGGACAGTGGAGATCGATCATCGTGCGGCACACGAGGACATTACCTGGGTATTGTTGATCTCTACGTCTATCTTTGGGCTAGGCGTGGGCAGCGCCTTGGTGTGCTACTACCATACACCATACACCATACACCGTTGGTGTATGGTATGTTTCCCCTTTTATTTTGCTCCTGAATAGTTTGGTTGTTGTTTTGAGCTCCAATGATGTACATGGCCCCAAAACTGGTATTGCAATTTTTTATTTATTGGTTTGTTGAAGTATTATTAATTTATTATCTGTTAGATTGGCTTCTTCCCTCAAGAAAAGGCCTTCTCTTTGCGCTACCAAACAGCAGGAATGCTGGAAACTGTTTTGCGAGCTGGAGTGCTTGGGGAGGATGACATCGGTGAAGAGTCCCCCAAGTAAGTCACTATTATTTACCTTTTATGTGAGTGGAGGTTTGCAAAACGTGAATATTACTAGTTTTCAGAATAGATGAATGTCTCATAATAGTATACTTGTTTTGAGGTGATTTTGGATCAATGAGTATTGCTAGATTAGTCCTTTCATAATTCTTATTATGGAAGTTCTGCACTTGCTTCAGTCCTGAAGAAAACCCTCCCTCAATGTCATTATGTTTTGGTAAATCCAATGGCATTGACTTTCACTTTTCAATGCTGATGTTTCTTTGATTTTATGGATCATCGTACTTTGAAGTGAGGGATCTGATATAGTGTCTGAAAAAGTTAGCAGCAGGAGATAGGAAAGGAATGAAACCATCTGCTCTAAAGATCTTATGAAATTTTATCATGTTAAATTTCATTTTATGTATTGAATAATAAATTTTGCATTGTACAATTTTATTTTATGTATGGATAATGACTTTTGCATTGTACCGGTATCTCGTCAATGTCACTTTGGTTGTTTGAATTTTCTGCCAAATGTTTGAAAAATATGTCCTTATTATGCTAATAAAAGTAAGGGTTTCCATATGGTTCAAGAGGTCATACTCGACTTTAATTTCAAAGAGGAATTGTTGTATTTTGCCTTCTTTACAATTTTTTTTTCGGGTTGTTATCATACAGAAACTTGAAGCTTCCATGTCGTCATCCTTCTGTTGTTTGCGAGAATTGCCTGTATTTGCAGAAGACAGATGTTCGTGCAAGAGCATTCCACATCATGGATCCCAAGGGGGTCCTTGAAATGTTTCTCATTTTTCTTGAGCAAAGAGGAGACAAGGCGCCCTGTCTCTCTTCCTTTGACGTTTTCATGGTAATTCAATTCCCATTATGTTCTGCCAATGATCTGAACAAGTGGGAGACTTTTGAAGCTTTCTTTTGCGGGTTTTGACTTCAGTAATCTTGCTTTTCTTTCTGGCTACTAAAAGAATAATAATTTTTCTATGTAAGGGAGGCAAACCCCTGAAAATTTGAGGCATACTATCTGGAATAAGAGTTGGTTTGCTTGAACTAGTTAAAGCACATGCAGGTCTGGATACACTGTCCAGATTCTCTTGTGCACCACATGCTCACCCTAGGCTTTTTATCCAAACAACAAATGGAAATCAAAGACAATATGTCGCTGTCAGTTGGCTTGTGGTCACATAAGTGTGCAAGAGACTGGTTAGTTCAATTGGATAATGGTTTTCTAGGATCTTTAACATGCCAAAAATAGTTGCTCTTCTTTTTAATAAAGATTATGAGAGCAATTATTGATATAAGAAACAGAAAAAATCAGAGCAATTCAGTATAATATTATAGAAGATACAGGCCCAAAATATATTTTGCATGTAGCTTATTGGAATATGCATTTCTGACATTTTATTGTGTACTTGAGATGACAAATAGGTATGTTTTTAAAGAAAAGAATAAGCGAACTGAAAAGAGCCAACTTATTGCACCATCCAAAGAAAACTAGTATTGCTCTAAGTTGGGGTTTCAGCTCTCACGTGTCATGAATAATATAAACCACTGTTAGAAAAGTCAGTGAGTCCAACTCGAAATTTCTTGAGATAACGCAGGCTTGGCTGCCTGACAGAGCCCAGATACCCCCTTGCTCACCCCAGGGGGTGCTGAAGTAACTTGGGTGATTTGCATAAAGTGGGCGAGTTCCTGACATGCTCGCCAATCAGACCAAAAGGGGGGTGGTGTGGGAGGAAAATTGAACCTCCTTGTTCGCATTTTCTCTTCATCCATGTCCTCATCGGATCAGGATTTGAGGTTTAAGGTCTGTTTTGTATCTTCTAGCTACTGAAAAGATGAGATTCAAGAAAAATAAATAAAAACATCTCAGATTTGTGAGATTTTGATTTTTGAACTAGTGTGTAGCTAGAGTTCAAAGTCTTTTTTTTTTTCCTGTCATCTTGCTAGAAATTTGTTACCTACACGTACTTTTAAATATTCTATTGTATCACATGTTTATTTTCCACAAAAATCCTCTCGAAATCTTGGATTTGTGATATTTGAACATCAAGATGCTTTTAGCTGAAAATCTCAAGAGCTTCGTCCAACTTGATCTGCACTTGATCCCAGATCTAGTTAAGCGGTTTGGTCTGAGATATTTGAGGATCCTTTAACAATGATTTGAGGATCGATTCGTGTTGAGCGCAAGTAATAGAGTAATTGGTTGTTGCATTAGATTATTAGATAGCTATTTCAATGAGTGTATGCCTAAAAAATCAATTTATCATTTTGTATTCAGGTTTTATGAATTTTATTTTTTCTATTTTTTTAAATTTTTTTTGCTTCTTCTAGATATTTTTGGCCTTTTAATGGGACGCTTTCCATCTTGGACTGGACTCATGGTGTCCACTCAAGATTCACTGAGCTGACTCACTCCACTCCACTGCTGAGCCCTGGAGTGAGTCTAAGTTTCTGAGCACTGATTTAAATGAAAGCCCTGGTTTTGATATCATTTCTTTATATTTATAATTTCTCAGGATCATTGTATTATCTTTAAAAAAAAAAAACATTGCCTTAGTTGTTTCCTTCTCATGCTCGGCAGGACAATGATTCAAGCAGGTTAGACGCATGGCTTGGTCAATGGAAAGGTCATTCTATAACGAAAAGAAGTGGTGTTTATGGAGCAACAATTGCAAAAGCTGACACGAATGCCATTCTTGAAATGAAGAACAAAGGACAGTTAATCCAGGTATTGGTGTTGACTTATACCATTCACATGTATCCAAATTTGTTCAAGGCAACAAGATGAAAACTACAAGAATTGTTGGGTTTCAACGATGGATAAATCGACAATGATGTTATGGAAATGGATAAGTTGACATGATGGCAAGAAGCAACTCGTTATGTGGTCATATGCCACCATTTGTTCTTTTAGTGGAGTAATTCAAGCCATCAAGAAATGGCTAAATAAATCAGATTGCCCTTTCAGTTCCATACTATGAGGCTATTGTTCTCCTTATACCATCATTATAGGAAGGGTTTGCAGACAAGCCCCCACTCCCAACTCATCGTACTGTATATATAGTCTTATGTAGTTTTTCTTGCACTGTGTCATATACAACGAATGAAAGCCATTTACCGACATATCGAAGCAAAGGAAAACAATAAAAAAAAGAAAAGAAAAGAAAAGAAAAGTGTCGGATGACTATTGTAGGATTAGTTGAAGTGCATTAAGTTGGTTTTGTTTAATGAATGCTTTTGCCTTGATTTTATTATTTTGTTCAGGATATCACTTCAACATCTGAAGGCGGTGTCTCTACAAATGTGCATTGGACTGGCACAATGTCGGGAAATCTCATTAGCTTCGATGGGGGCTTCCAAATGACCTTACTCCCCGGAGGCATGTATTTAGCATGCCCTTCAAATGTGGGTAAGAGTGTGGCTCAATCTCAATCTTTTCATTTAGAGTTCTGTTGGATGGTGTCTCCATTTGAGAGACACAGGCTTGTGCGAACATACGATGTCGAGGGTTTGGCAGTATCGACTACGTACGTCTTCGAGACTAAACAGTGAAGATATTCTCTCAGTGTATGTATCATTTGCTTTTCCTTATTGTATTGAATGTGCAGTTAACAACAAGAAGAAAATATTTATGTTCTCTCTATGCATGTATTATTTGCTTGTGCATAATATGTCAAATTTGCATTTTACCAAGGTAAAGATTTTACACTGGCACATCTCATACATTGACATGTTTAGAAATCTATATGATATAGAACCTACATCTACATATTTTTAGTGGGTAAAAGAGATAAAGAAATAAAATTCAAAATGCATAAAACAAAGACTTTTGGAGAAGATTATCTGGTAGCAAGGCATCAACTACTGTTACAAAATTGATTTCACATGGTACCGGTCGGGGGGTAACTTTTTGAAAATCTTAGAACCCAATAATGGATTTCTAGGCAAACTTTTTATCCCATGTGTAAACTGCAATGTTCTAATTGACAACCTTCTCGGTTATTATTCCATGATGATCTTCTAATGGAAAGTTGAAAACATAACAACTTAACATACTAAAATCTACATCATTGGGATTCATAAAAGGAAAAAGTTTATATAGAGCTAGAGCTAAGGCTCTAAACAATCAAATTAGAGCCAACCTCAAAATTTTTACTAGAAGAGGTTGTTTTGATGCCCAAATATCTTGAAATTGATCATCTCGACATCAAGATGCATGAACATGAGAAAAAAAATGATTTCAAGTTTTTGGAAATAGTGCATTTTGTAACGTATTTTTGGACTGTCAATTTTCAAGATTTTCAACTTTTCATAGATCTGCTTGATCTACACTATTTTTGAAGTTTTGAATTTTATAATGAAAGATATTTTAAGGCTATCACAAAATTTCCAGTATTGAAATCACATTTTTTGACACTATTTGAAGGTGCACTTTACTTTGATTGTTTAGAGCCTCGACTCTATACAAACTGCACCCTTCATAAAATTATGAAGGAAAATTATAGTCATCCATGCTCGCAATCCAATGAAAATTGGACTGGAGTCTTAATCATTGCCTTAAATTTTTATAGTCATTTGTCAATAAATAGGCTGTAATGGTTGGACCCGGCACATATGCAACCCAGACTTGGATAGAGCTATATCCAAATCCAGACCTACTTGGGGCCAGGTTTGCTAGACTTGGTCCCAACCCATTGGGTCCACTTTTAAGGTCCAAAAGTTAGAAGACCTAGGCCCAACCTGGCAGATCCACTTTGAGGGACCTAGGTCGGGATGACCCGGCGGCTTGCTTGGTTGACTTAAACAAGCTGCCAGGTCGGCCCTACCTGTTTAACAAAATTATTTCCAAGTAAGAGACATGAAAACAATCATCCATGAAATTACAGAATCAAAATAATCTAAAAATAAAGAGAAGACTACATACAATGCAAGGAAGCTCTGCCTTCTTTGGATAAGGGATGTTTTGACCCAAGATTGCTTTTAAAGGAGCAATCCACTTTGAGTTATTGTTAAACCACAAAATTTCTTTGCTTCCAACATCTTATAAATAAGGTAAAATACAGTCAAATTATTTACCCAATAACTCACGATCATTGATAGCCGCTGGATATAGAACTCGATGGTTGGGAGATTAATTATTTAATAATTTACGCTTTCGGAACTATTCAAACTCAAGACCAAGTGTTATTTTAAGGGTATTTTCAAATTAAATCAAAAGCTATGGGTAAAGTGTTAAGTTGTTAAACTCTCATGGATAGTTTGATAAAATTTTTATTATTAATTTTCTCGAACTCTATGTTCCACCCCTAGTTACCTAATTTCATGATTGACCGTGACCTCGTATAAATGGCGAGCGGGTAAGGTAAATGGTCTTATAAAATATGGTTGTATAAATAATATTAGATCTTTTGAGTTCGTATGATGTGCAATACCTTGTTGAGCTTGGTGTTCCTTAGGCCCATATTGTATGCCATTTTGTGGGTATATTGGGTATGTTGGGCTAGTGGCTGCTTTATTGCTAGTTTGGGTGCAGTACACCCTTTTCAAGATGGAGACCTTGGGTATTATGAAAAGGCAAAAGGTTTCTATACTTTCTCTAGTGTATAAAATATATATACTTCCCCTTCGATTTAGATCCTTCGATTTAGATCAAGTGAGTTACTTGACCATTTGATCTAGATATGACGTCTTGGAATATTTTATTTTTATTTTTATTTACAAATTATATGAATATGAAATTTAGTATGTGCCATTATTTTCAATGGGGAGCACATAAAAATAATATTTAAAAAATATTTTTGATAAATTACAATGACCAAAA